ATATATATATATATATTTATTTTTAATATTTATCGGGTCGGGTATCGGGGCGGGTAATCGGGTAATCGGGGCGGGGATTACCAAACCCGTCCCCGTCCCCGTCCCCGTTTAAAATAAATGGGTTTTCTCCGTCCCCGTCCCCGTTTATCATCTCCGAACCCGACCCATTTAATTCGGTTTTCAGTTTTCCCCGTCGGATTCGAGTTTTTTGCCATCCCTAGAGCCATATTTTTAATTTAGTCGGGTGCCCTCTTGCCCCTGCCCAGAGTCGGCCCTGGTTGCTGTTTTATGTTGTTTTCAGGTTTATCGGAACTGACACTGGACTCGAGGTTAGCTATCCGAAAAAGTTCGTTGGAAGAGCTTTTCAATGTCCCGAAGGATCATGGTCATCTTTTCTCACGAACATTCTGGATAGGTGTTTTTAACTCTGTTGTTCTCCCCATATTTAATGGTGCATCTCCTGTAAAACAGTGTTCACCAACTTCAAAATCTCCTCATTCCGATAGAAGCCCATGGGACCTAGAAACTTCTGCCATAAGTTTTTACGATGTGTTGAGGTCCCAACTACCAAACCTGGTTTCTGTACTGGCAGGATACTTAAAGAGTTCGATACAGGGCCCTGCAAGCACCGGGGTCACGGTAATGTATCGTTTAACGGTAGAGTTAGGAAGCAGACTTACGAAAGACCAATGGCAGAAAAACCTTCTAGCTATAAAAGATGCAGCCTCGGCAACATTGCCCGGGTTTATGAAGATTTTGAGAACCATGGATGACATCAAGTTGCCCGAGAATTCTGGATCCTCTACTACTACTGAAACAAGTTCCGAGCAAGGATTGTCCAAGGATGACATCTAGGACGATAATCTGCAGACCGCAGCTTACGTGATCTCGAAAATGAAGAGTTATATCGCGGTCCAGCTGCTCATCATGCAGGTTCTCCCATTACACAGCCTCTATTATTGCATGTGCTAATCATGACATGATCATATTTGTTTGGACTTTCATCATTTCAGGTCAAAACCGATATGTACAAAATGAACCTATACTTCCTGGCAGCTGCCAACGTTAATGTCATCGCATGCTCAGCAACTGAACTCGGAAACCGCCCTGCAAAAGAAAATAAAGAAGATATGCTCGGCATTGGAGATCTCCGAACCGCCCGTGGTCCACTTCGAGAACGAGGCGTATCAAAACTACCTCAACTTCCTCCAAGATCTAGTCAAAAACAATCCATCCACCTCTAGGGACATGAACCTAAGATCACTAGTGGCAGTGTGCGAAAAAATATAGCTGATATACCTCAGCTGTACCAACTACAACTACGCTGGAGAAGAAATCAGTCGAGATGCCGGTAACTCATTGGATTCTCCCATTGGGGATAGCCAGAAAGGAGAAAATGGCAGCTAGAACGCCTCTGCTCGTGTGGGCATTGAAGGCAGAGTTGTTTGGAGAAGGACTCATGCAGAAATTACATTGCAGATCATATCTTTCATCTGTTGGTCAATCTGGTCCGAAGCGAGCATGGCTCGACCGAAGTTCAACATGCTCTAAGCAACATATTCCAGGCATGTATAGGCCCAATAATAATGCAATAAGTTCATCATGTTACAGAATGTTACATATTTTTTATTATCTTCCATTATCACAGTTTTGATCATTATAACCCAAGATACAGTTCTGTTTATTTATTTAGCACATGTTGATTATATATACTGAAATTTTCATCAAATTTAAAAACATTTTTAATAAATTTAACTATATCTTTTAACGTATTAAATCTAAATGATAAATAATTTTATCGGGTTGAGTCACATATTTTGTATCCTAAATATATGAAAGGTCAAATATACTATTTTTAAGGTCGGATATTTTTTTATCCTAAGTCTAAATTTGATTTTATTATTTAAGAAATTTGATCCAATTTAAACTCAAATTTTTCTAAAATAAACTCCTCCTATAGACATCCTATAAACACCAATTAAAACCTATCAATTTTAAGTTTATCATCACTACTCCTAACATTTTTCTAAAGATAAGTGATCATTTATTTATGATCTCTTAACAAAAGCGGTGCAAATAATAATAATAATAATAATAATAATAATAATCTAAACATGACAATTTTACAGTCAATAGAAAAATAAAAAGATAATGTACAGTGTTAAATATTTTCTAATTTGGTTGGCCCGACCATGCTTGTATAATATATGATAGCAACAGTGAGATTTATATATGATTTTCAGAGGAGAAAACTTTGACACTGTCAGTCCAAGTCTTGAGCACATGGCGATGAATACTCGTCATTTTGAAGAAAAATAACACTTCAATCCTATCGTCTATATCATATTATTATTTTTTTCTATTACAAAGGTGGTAAGCAACTTCAATTCTACTACGTAACACTAGAAAATTTATATTAACTGTATAGTATCATGAATACGTATGCGACGAAAGAATAAATACAAAAGCAAATACGAATTATCTAATTTGAGCTGATTTTAAGATAGACGGAATAAATCTAAAATATTAATATTTGAACATTAGATCGATCTATTGGATATCATTTTACAAAATGATAGTCGACGGCATAAATTAATTCTCCGTGTAAGAATAAAATTCATTTGTATGGTACAAAACTATTACATAGATGATTAATATTAAAATTTTGTGCATTTGCGTTGAGGATGTATATTGAATTCAGATTCGATAGATTATGATCTGATTTTATATTATAAGATATGATTTAATAAAAAACCATATTTGAGCCGAGATAATTGAAATAATACTAATATTTATAATATTCATTTAAATATATTTTTTTTAATTAATCACTGGTATCCCCATCCGATCTATTGACCGACTAATCCAAATCGAGTACTGCAGAGGCAAGGACGACCATCCCAACCTAGTTTGCTCCATTCAAAAACACCAAGATTCGAACTCCTGACCTTGCTTAAGGGACCTAGTGCCTCGTCCCACTAGACCAACTGGTTATTGGTAATTAAATTTATATTTTATCTAATATATATATATGGGGCATGATCCAATTATGCTGTGTAAAACTCTTTTAGTTTTACATCTTTTTAAGACTATTGGATGCGAGAAATTAGATATTGAAATTAACAGTAGAAAATGAGAAGATATTCATTCGAAAAAAATCAATGAGTTAATCTCAGCCTTTGATGTCCTTCAATCTAATGATCCTAAAAAGGTATAAAACTAAAAGAGTTTTACACAATGTAGATGGATCTTAACCTATTTTTATATATATATATATATATATATATCAAATCAGGTCATGTATTGCAAAATTTAAATTGAATTTCAGATCAAATAAGGTCTCTTTAAATCAAGTCGGATTGATTTTTAAATCAATAAAAAATCTGATCCAATTCATGCTCCTCCCTAATCCATATTATCTAACTCTCTTTTTATTTATAAAAAAAAAATTATTTTCAACTATAAATTTCAATCATCCATTCAACTATTTGAAATTAATTTAAAACAATATAAATGATTTATGACATATATATATACACACACACACATCAAACCAGTTGTTCAAGAATTATAGTAATCAGTTGCATGCATCCTATTTTGAATTTTCATGCCATAGACCGACATTCAGCCTTGTTTTTCATGGAAACCAGCGGCGTTCAAGAAAATAAGTTATTTCTTATTTATTGAAATATTTTCAAATGATTCAAAATCTATCATACAATATAGTGATGAATATTCTTTATTTTAAAAAAAATAACAAAATATTATATTAAAAAAATTATTTCAATTAAATTTTAAAATATTTATTAAATTATCATCAAATGGTTGATAAATGTAAGATTATTTTATAATTTTTAAAAGTTTAATAGCCAAAACAATTATTTTAGCATGGTTTAATGGCCTCTCGTGTACTTTACCCAAAAAGAAAAATGAAATAGCCAGGAAAGTGCTACAAAAACTTTGCAGCCAAACACTGCCTTAAAATTTTTTCTTTGACTCTTCCCTGTGTGTTTAGGGTATGTTTGTTTCCCGTAATTGGAATTACGGAATTGATTTTCCCCGAATTCCCGTGTTTGTTTCACGTAATTCGTTTTCCGGAAAATATTTTCCCGTGTTTGTTTCACGTAATTCGTTTTCCGGAAAACGTTTTCCCGTGTTTTTTTCACGTAATTCGTTTTCCGGAATGTAATTCATTTTCCTAGTAACAGAATTTCCTTTGTGTTTTCTGTAAAATGACTTACGGATTCATTTTCCGTAAGTCATTTTCCGAACTTTTCACTTCAAAGCAAAAATACTCAAAATAATTTTATTTTATGAATTTAATATTAATAAAATATTTTAATATCATTTTCATCAAAATATTAATTATTAAAATATTTAAAATATATTTATTAATATTTATAATAATATAATATTATATTTTTAATATTATATAAAATAATCAATTATATTATAATAATATAAGATATTATATTTTTATTTTAATAATATATAATAAATTTTTTTATATATTTAATAATGAATAATATTATTTATATATTTCAATAATTTTTTAGTAAAGATATTAAAATATACTAATTAATATTTTTTAAAATATAATATAGTACTATTACTTTAATAAATAATTAATATAATTTATAAAATTTTATTTCACTAAAATATACCGAAAAAATGTTTAAATAACAACTTCCAAACATCATAAAACGTTTTCCAGAAATGTAATTCATTTTTTAGAAATGTAATTCATTTTCCAGAAATGTAATTCATTTTACAGAATTCAAATTCCAGTAATTCATTTTTCAGTAATTCAAATTTCAGTAATTTAAATTCCAGTAATTTATTTTCTGAAAAATCAATTACAGCTAAATAAACATACCCTTAGTTTAGTCATGAAGGACTACATTACCACGTGCCAGATATTGTCCTCCTTTTATCACGCGCTCTTCCTCAAATCCTATAAATGCTGACTCCAGCCCTGGCATCTCTAACTCGAACCCTGCTCAGAAACCTTGAAAGGAAACTAACTGAAAATCAGTTGTTTCGGTTTCATTATCTCCGCCCTCCTCTGCCGGGATTCTGATTCCGCCTCCGTAAACACCCAAAATGGAGGCTACTAAGCTATCTTCGGCTAAACCCGTTCAGACTTTGAAGCCGAAGAAGACGGTTTCTTTCGACGAAGATCCCAATAAACCCTCCGATGAATTGCCGCTTCCTTTGCATCTAATGAACTCATTTTTCTTTACCCTTTTCTTCTCGGTGGTCTATTTCCTTCTTTCCAGTTGGCGTGAAAAAATCCGTACCAACACTCCTCTCCACGTCTTCACCTTCTCCGAGATCGTCGCGATCATGGCCTTCTTTGCATCTTTCATTTATCTCATAGGCTTCTTTGGGATTGAATTTGTTCAGTCTTTGGTTTTCCGACCGTCTCCTGAAGTTTGGATTTCCGAGGACGAGGAGGAAGATGAAGTTTTGCTTCGTAAAGAGGATGCCCGTAAAGTCCCTTGTGGACAAGCTCTCGATTGCTCGCTTCCTCCTTTGCCTCCTCAAATACCGATCGTGACTGCCCAGAAAATGTTCGATGAAAAGCCTTTGACAGTTTTAACGGAGGAAGACGAGGAGATAATTAAATCCGTTGTGGCGGGAACAACTCCTTCGTATTCGTTGGAATCGAAATTAGGTGATTGCAAGAAAGCGGCTGCAATCAGGCGTGAGGCGTTGCAGAGATTAACTGGCAAGTCATTGTCTGGATTGCCCTTGGAGGGGTTCGATTACGAGTCGATTTTGGGGCAGTGTTGTGAGATGCCGATCGGGTACGTGCAGATTCCCGTGGGAATTGCTGGGCCGTTGTTGCTTAATGGAAGAGAGTTCTCGGTTCCCATGGCTACCACTGAAGGCTGCTTGGTAGCTAGCACTAACAGGGGATGTAAGGCTATTCATTTATCCGGTGGAGCTACAAGTGTTCTATTGAAAGACGGCATGACTAGAGCTCCGGTTGTAAGGTTCGGTACCGTGAAACGAGCAGCTGATTTAAAGCTGTATTTGGAGGATCCTAACAATTTCGACACCTTGTCTGTTGTTTTCAACAGGTTTGTTTCAAATTGATTGATATAAAACTCAAGCTAATTTTGTAATGGTTTATTGAAAGTTTTGGCCATTTTTGGTGGTTGCAGATCAAGTAGATTCGGTAGGCTTCAAGGTATCAAGTGTGCAATTGCAGGGAAGAATCTGTACATGAGATTCACTTGCAGCACTGGTGATGCTATGGGGATGAACATGGTTTCCAAGGGAGTCCAAAACGTTTTGGATTTCCTTCAAACCGATTTCCCCGACATGGATGTCCTCGGCATCTCTGGTGAGTTTCATTTTATTTTTGCAGACTTGCAATATTTATGTTAATTCTTCCGTTCAACTTTAGATTACTGAATGCATGGATTTGTGCATATAGGAAACTTTTGCTCCGACAAGAAACCGGCTGCGGTAAATTGGATCGAAGGACGAGGCAAATCCGTTGTCTGCGAAGCCATTATTAAAGGTGATCTGGTAAGGAAGGTGTTGAAGACGAGCGTGGAATCTCTCGTGGAACTTAACATGCTTAAGAACCTTACCGGATCAGCTATGGCTGGAGTTCTGGGTGGATACAATGCTCATGCCAGTAACATTGTGAGTGCAGTCTACATAGCTACCGGCCAAGATCCGGCTCAAAATGTTGAGAGCTCTCATTGCATCACCATGATGGAAGCTGTTAACAACGGCGAAGACCTTCACGTCTCTGTCACAATGCCTTCTATTGAGGTAACCGATCGTGTCGATTTCCGTTGCCGAAACAAAATATTGGTATTTATGTTAGGTGCCTAATTATTTCTGTTGCTATATGATTCATCCTTTAGGTTGGCACTGTTGGTGGTGGAACTCAACTTGCATCTCAGTCAGCCTGTTTGAACTTACTTGGAGTCAAAGGTGCAAGCAAAGAGGTACCGGGGGCAAACTCGAGGACGCTCGCAACTGTAGTAGCCGGCGCCGTCCTTGCCGGGGAGTTATCGCTCATGTCGGCACTTGCTGCTGGTCAACTAGTTAATAGCCATATGAAGTACAATAGGTCAAGTAAGGATGTTTCCAAGGCTTCTTCCTAGAGAGAAAATGTCCTGAAAAATTGGGGGGTAATGTTGCAAAATCCCCCATGGTAGAATGTACAAAGGACACAAATCTGTGTGTAATAAGTTGGAAAGAGACATCGTCTCTTTCTAATTTTCTTTTATTTTGTTTTGTATTTTGTTCTTTCCACTCTTTCTTTTATATTATAAAATAAATTATTCACATAATTATGCCGAAATAAACTTTTTGATCGCTATAACTTTGAAAGTTATAAAATAATTTTTAAATTTATCAAATTATTACAAGATTATTGTACTTTATAAAATAATAATAAATTTTGATAAATTTAATGATTGTTTTATAATAGTTTAATAAAATTTATTAACTATTTTATGATAATTTGATAAAATTTAATGATGAATTTGATATTATAGATCAAAATTCAACACTTATAGTTAAATATAATACGAAAAAAAAAACAAATACACTACTACAATGTAACTTTTAGATTTTCTAAATATTGAAATGGCAAATAGGTCGATATGAGCCCATCTTGATTAGGGTTGGTCTAAGTAATTTTGAAATACTAGAGGATGTATAAAAAAGTATTCATTTTAACATTTGGTTGGTAAAATTGGCACATTATTAGGGATGTAAAAAATTGACCCGACCTGCAAAACTGACTGAAACTAAATTGAGTCAAAATTATTTGTGACCCGAGATGGTGATGAATCGAAATTGATTCGAGTCCGAACTGGTGTTGACCTGAACCCGAGTTTGACCCAAAAATTTACGACCCGCACCCGATCTGCACCCGACCTGAACCCGAATTTGACCTGATATTGTGACAACTGAACCCAACCTGCATCCGACCTGAAATGAACACAAACCCGAGAATAACCTAACAAATAACTGATATTACTCGATTTGTTATCAATCTGATTTGTTATAAACGTGATATGTTATTGACTCAACAAGTAAATGATCTGACCTGTTATTAAACTTAACTGATATTTACCTGACTTGATATTTACTTGACTTATAAGTTATAATTGATAAAGTTAAAAAATTATAATTTTCTAATATTACAATATGACATAATACTTCTTCACAATTTATAATGCAAGATTAACTATGATAATTGAATTAATGTATTTACTTTTTATACTTATAAATTGTACCCTATAAATATATTCAAAAAATTTATTAAATTAATGAGTTATTAATAATAAATATAAAATAAAGTAGTAATTATCATCATTACATTACTAAATTTACTTCAAATTACTAAATTTGACTTTATATATTTATTATGATCATAATATTAAAAAGATTAATTATGGCTATTAAATTAATTTTATAAAATGATTCCTAGATCATTTTTATGTAATAATTAATAACTTAAATATAAATTATCTTAAATTTTTAATTTATATATTAAACATGATTCTAATTATTGATAATATTAGAATATGAGATTAAAAATTTAATAACTTTATAAATATTGAAACTAGCAAAATCTATAGATGTACAAATTAAATTTATTAAAACTCAATACACCACAATTACGATTAAATGAAGTAAAGTTGAAATTTGAGCTCCCATATCTTATAACAAAAATTTTACAAGGTTAAAAACCCGACTTTGCTACCAAATTTTTTTTCATCGAGCTTAAATTATCTAAATGCTGCCAACATGATTAAATTATGGACATTTTTTTAGCTTGAAAAGCTAAAAATGACACCAACATAATTTAACCATGGGTAACTAATTAGATAAGAATTTACAACAGTTGAATTATATCAGACCAACAACAACAATTTACAAGGCAACAGTCAACCAACAAGCAGTAATTCATGATGTAGACCATAACTAATCAACATTTAGACGAATTCCAACAGTCCAAGTCCAGCTAGCATTCATACCAATCCAATCAATGGTAAAGTCACGGGGAATACGATGGCCAATAATGTCAAACATTTCCGACTTTACCAAACCTACAAAAGTTAAAACAATGCTAAAGCATTCATTTATATGCTTGTTGAAATTTATGAAAATTAATAAAAAAAACAGTAAATGTAAAAGTAGTAGCATGCTGGCTGAAATTCATGAAAATTAATGAAAAAAAAAACAGTAAATGTAAAAGAAGTAGCACCCTACAATAAATTATTTCAAGTATTAATGAAAATTAAGAAACAAACACAATAAAGAAATTACCATAAAAGGGAAAAATGAAGAAAGAATTATTCACAAATTCATTCAAATGCACTTGTTGTAAATGTAAAAATAGTAGCTCCTACAAAAGCAAAAAAAAAAAATCATTAAAAAACAATTTAAATGAAATAAACATAAGAAAAATAAAGTAAATCAAATATTTACCTTTAAAGGGAATAATCAATAGCTATAGTAAGATACTCTTCATCCCTTTCTTTTGGTTCAAAACCATACAACAAATTTCGAGTTGTTACAAAAATCTCAACATTTTTAGGTAAATGCCTAACCCTCAACTTGTTCAAAATACAACCCCCATGCTAAAGGAAGATTCAGAAGCAACTGAAGTAACTGAAATGACCAATATATCTCTCGTCATGCGAGAGAGTACCAGATAAGAAGCATTTTATGATTTCCAATACCCCAAAATGTCAAACTCAACATCTTCATTACGGGGAACAAGAGGCAAATTAATGTAGGAATCAACATATGATTTTCCAGTCCTTAAAGCAGCTAAATTAACATCAAAATTCTGAAAAAGACAAATAAATAAAATAGTTAGAATTGTGAAAATTAAATAATCAAATTAAAATAATTAAAAAAACAACTTGAAATAAATCAGATTTTTTAAATGTTTGAGGTCGATTGGAAGAACTTGACCCACTTGTCTCTTGAGATGTGTTACTTTGGACAGAAAAAGAAGAACTAAAAAGCGCATATTTTGAATAATATTTATATCAATTAACAAACTCATTATATACAATATTTACCCTTCGTTGAACCTCGTCCTCTACAAAGAACACTATATAACTCATTCAAGAGTTGTAATTTATATCGAGGATCAAGCAAAACAACAATAGACAGAATCAATGAGTGATAAGACCAATACTTCTCATATAATTCAAGAATCAGTCCTGCCATTGCAGGAATGCCTTCACAAGGATCATTGTGAGCATCACACAACAACTTTTCAACTGTAACAACATTAGCCAAATACAAGTTAGAGGTGGGGTACTTAGATCCAGAGAACAGAGTAGTAATTTCATAAAATGACTCAAGGAAATCAAATATTGTTTGAAAAATTTCCCACTCATAATCAGTAATAACATCCAACTCATTTTCCATATTCACAAACAAATTAATGGATAATTTAGCATCAAGTGCCCTATGAATCATTAAGTAATTACAATTCCATTGAGTAAGAACATCTAGTAATAATTTACCACGAAAAGAAGATTCACAATCTTTAACAGCCAATTCAAAGGCACAAAGTCGAGAATCAGAATAATCAATAAACTTAATAATTTCTCGTAACTTAATAACAAAAGAATCAATTACCTTCAAACCTTTTTGAACTATCAAGTTCAAAATGTTGGCAACATACCTTACATGAAAATATTTACCACTACATGGAATAGGAGAAATATCATGCAAATCATCTCTAAGTCTTTTAACCATTTTATCATTTGCAGAAGCATTTTCAAGAGTTATGGTAAAAGTTTTTTTTTGGATAATTTAATTTTATTACCCAAATAGGCAGAGTTCTGCTAAAAAATCAATATCATCCAAGGAACAAAGGAAAACCTACTTACAACAAAAAATGGTTAGCCTATACCCCAATGATTACAAAGATTAATATTAACACTATCTAATCTATTAATATTCATTCCTCTTAATTGAATACTTACAATTTCCTTAATGGAATTCAGAATCTCATCAACATTTCTTGAACTTCCTCGGAACAATCTTTGATTTATTTCCTCTCACAGGGAATAAATAAGTGCACACCAAGCAAGCTTCAAGATAGAAGTTAGGAAAGACTTACCTTTACAAGCACCACAAGCCCAAGCTAACATGTTAACCCATGTCAAAGGTGGTCTGCTCAAGCCGGTGAGATTCAGAATAGCTTTCCATAGGGAAACATCCAAAGAGCATTCAACGAACAGATAGTCCCTAGTTTCCAGAACTTCATTGCATATTACGCATAATCCATCAGTAATGATTCCCATACGTTGAAGCCTCTCCCAAGTTAGGAGTCTATCCAGAAGTGTCATCCAAGAGATCAAGCTAAGTTTAGGAATGTGGAGGGGAAACCATATCAATTTGTTCCAAGGAACTTTGTCTCCTTTTACCTGTAACTCTTCCCAAATTTCTTTTATTTTCTTTGGTCCTGAAGATAAAACTGGAAGAGCCACTACCATTAATTTAAATAGTCTCCTGATGCACTAACTTGAATTTTCTCCTTCTTCCATGAGCCAAAAGTCATTATCCTTAATCACATAGCTTTTGATCCAAGCAACCCAAAAAGAACCCTCTCTCGCAAGGATATTTCTAATGAGCTACATCAGACTCGCTTTGTTTTATGATTTAATATCATTTAATCCGAGCCATCCTACATATTTCTGTTGGAAAATCTTCTCCCAGCTAACTCTGGATCAAGTGGCGGCCTTATCAGTACCTTTCCAGAAAAATCGAGAGCAAAGTTGCTCAATCATGTTAATAATAGATTGTGGCATAATTAACTACCTACACCAGTAGTTAGCAACACTGAATACGAAAACTCTGACAAGTTAAAGTCTGCCTACATAGCTCAAGTGCTTTCCTGACCAATAGTGAAGCCTTGACTTAATCTTATCGATTAGAACCACACAATCCTTTTTAGTGAGTTTCTTTGTGATTAAAAGAACCCCTATATATCTCAAAGGCAAGCAACCATGTTTAGATCCCATAGATTGTTTAATAGTCTCAAGATTTCTAAATATGATTTTAGCAGCATAAAATTCACATTTGGCAACATTTAGTTTAAGACCAGACATTTCATAGAATTGATCCAAAACACTAATGAAACCAACAACATATTCAATATTTCTTTTGCAAAAGATAAGAATGTCATCTGCAAAAGATAGGTGAGTAAGACCTATCTTCTTACATTTAGGGTGATAACCGATCATATATATGGAAATAATAATATTA